ATTGTGTTATAAACTCGCAATTCTAATATTTTTTTCAGAATTGTGATATAAACTCGCAATTCTAATATTTCTTCTCAGAATCGTGTGATATAAACTCGCAATTCTAATATTTTTTTTCAGAATTGTGTTATAAACTCGCAATTCTAATATTTATTCTCAGAATTGTGATATAAACTCGCAATTCTAATATTTTTTTCTCAGAATTGCGAGATATAAATGTGCAATTACAAGTTATAAAGTCAGAATTGCCTGATATAAAGTTGCAATTGTGTTATAAAGTCAGGACTGCAAGATTGTTCCCCCAGAATTGGACTTTATAACTCGGAATTGTGAGTTCATATCATATAAAGAAATCATAATAATAACCCTGCTGCTACTGCACTGCAAAGAAAAATTTTGTTGAGAAGAGTGTAGAGTTTAGTAGAGATGCTATGACATGTTCTTTCCAATATCCAGCGACTACTAAATTGTCCCTAGGAGTAATTTTGATCAAACAATTAAATATCTGTTTTCTGTTGTTATTCCCCACCAATGCCAAAATCAAACCTACACCCTTCATTGTTGAAACTGATTTAATTTGATAGGTAACAGTAATGTCTTACTATTCGAATTTGATTAAATGTAAGAATTTGACAAAAAATGATGCATACATTTAATTCGTTTAGAAAAAAATTGGGCTTATAAAGGTAAAAATGCCCATAAAAGGTAAAAATCCGTTTAAACTAATTAGAAAAGTGAATTTCTGTTACTGCTGCAAACTAACCACCTCACAGAATATGAAGAATATCAAAAGTGTTGGGAGTCAGCTGTACCACGGTACCAGCACTGTAACACACTCAGCACAATATCGGCTAATTATCGCTATCGACAAACTTCCAGAAAATATCTAGATATATGTGACCCTGGAGCACAAAAGCAGTCTTAACTCGCTGGGGTATATTTGTAGCAGTGGCGGGCCGTGCATTTTACACCTAGGCCTTCAGTGGCATCCTACATTAATTAATCCATCTCTTCATACCATCATAATGATGCCACGGCTATAGAAACCATAAATATTACACAGTAATGCAGTATAACAGGGCACTACATAACAGACAGGTATCTTATGTAGCGAGAATGAATGCCATTACTAAAGAAAGAAACCCAATTAACAATTACGCAACACATCATCTGTAGCTGAAGCATTAACCTAACAAAATGACACAAATACAGTCCAACAAAGTAGTTTTGCTTTCACAACGAAACAGCGTCACACACGGCGGCCTAGAGTGAGCGGAGGCCTGGGGCTAGCGTAAGGAACGGCAGGAGGGCTAGAGCAGAGGCCAGGGGCTAGCGTAAGGAACGGAGGCGCGGGCTTGAGAACGGCGCGGCCGGCGATTTCGACGAAGGAGCGTCCGGAAGGAAATGTGACGACCCCGT